AGAGGGGAGATGATTACAAAACTTTTGAGATAGTTAGTAGTAGTGATAGCAAGAATTATGGTTACGATAAAAATTTTAATTTAGATGCTGAAAACTTTCTCCAAGACAAAGAATTCCAAGAATTAAAAGAAACAATAGTTGGAAGCCTATTCCAATTTACTTTCGATGGAGAACTAGTTAAACAAGAAGAAAGTGGGGCTTTCTTGGGTGTAGAAGAAGGAAAAAGTTATAAATGGAAAAAACTAACCTCCAGTGTGCCAACCCAAAGTGGTAATGCCGAACTTGAAACTAAACGGGAACTTTTGTGAGGCAGAGTTAAATCTGCCAAAATTTTAGAACATTTAATTAAAGGTGACCCAAACTTGTCGCACGAGAAAATTAGTGCTAAAATCAGGAAGTTGAATCCGGATGCTCTGCCCGAAGGTACTGAGTGGAAAGAAAGAATAGAACCTACTGACCTCTTTATTACTGATATTAGCCAACTACTCGAATATGTTAGACTTTGTGCCGAAGCCATTATGAGTTTGAAAGAAGAAATAGATGACGAGGAAAGATTCGATTTAGAAAAAAGAATTAAAGGAAGATCTCTAGATCTTTTAGAGGTGTTAAAAACTAGCCTTCATTTAGAAGATGGCAAGATTAACGAGAAGTTGGATAGTTTTTTTCCAATCACAGGCATTATTGGGGAGGGGGAAAGTTGACAAACAAAATTGGCACCTGATAATGACTTTCTCACTGGCCTGGAACAAATAAATGGTTACATTCTCTCGGTTCATAAAGTAATTGTTGTTCTGACAGTTGAAAGAGTGAATAATGATTGGAAAGTTCTAGAAACCGAACGCGATAATTGAAAAGAACGGGTTAGAATGGCTAAAGAGGTATGAAAAAATATTCGGGCAGAATTAAAAACCCACCAAGAAAAAGAAAATGACAATTTAAAAGCAGCCAAGAAATATGTGCTAAGCGAATTAGAAGAATTAAAATATTTTCTTTGTGATGACGAAACTTTGAATAAGGAGGCAAACAAAATTAAAGAAGACATTGTTCCCCAAGATGGCGATTGAAAGATAAAACTAGATCCAAATGACAAGACCCTCACCATTCCCGAGCAATTAGTTGAATATTTTGCTATTATTAGTAAAGCCATTAGAAATATAAGGAATGATGTAAACTTATCCAAGGTTTCTGGAACAGTCGAACTCCTTTTGCTTAATATGCTAAACTCTTCTAATGCTGATGATGAAATGTTGGAGGCAGAAATCAGTCGCTTGTCCCCAGATGCTCTGACCGACAATGCTAGTTGAGGCAGTAAATTTAGAAGCGAAAACGAAATTAATAATGTCTATGAATTATTTGATTACTCTCTTTTGGTTAAGGAAGCCATTGAAAGCTTGGCAAAAAAACTCGCTATAAATGATTTAAAGAGGTTGAAAGATTATAAAGGTTGTTTAAAGGATGATGAACTCAACAAGGCGGTGAACGAGGTGAAACCGGACGCTATTCTGGAAGGGGAAAATTGAGAAACGCTAATTGAAAATAATTTCAATATGAGAGGAGTAAACTATTATGCTCGCCTAGTCCGCAATGTTATTATTA